GGGAACGTGTAACGTCATTGTGTCGCGGTATTTGCGATAATAAATACAATAATAATATTAATAAAAATCATAAAGCTTCTCGTGTGGTAAACACAATTCGAAGGAATAAAGACTAAGGAGCCGTGACAAGATGTTGGTGTCTGAGTAATTCTCATATTTTTGAGATTTATTGCGAAAAATATTACCTCAGCCAGGGTTTGAACCTGGACCTCCCCCTCAATAGGCGGGCGTCTCATCAATTCGACCACCGAGGCATGTAGTGACAATAATAATATATTGTTAGGGAATTATATCTTTTTTCCTTGAGTAATCTTTCTGGCGTTTCACGCTTCGGTGGAACTTTTTTAAGCGAGGGAAGAATTGACGGATAGTTGGCTTATCGTTATGAATACTAACGGGGAATACTTGAGCGATTAATAATTAAAATCTTTATGTATTTTTTATCTCATTTCTTTATAGTTAAGAAATCGACAATAATTTTGCGTCGCGTCTGCTCAATAGAGAAGTTTTACATTCTCTCTAATTTACATTTGATTCTACTGTAATTATTGTAGGTATAAGTTATTTCAAAGCTCGCGAACTTGAACTTGACTTATGTTTGACAAGAAATATTGTTGCCGAGAGTTCGTGAAGTGATAAGAAAAATGAAGATGTTTCCCGAAGTGCAAAAGGATAAACTTTTACCATTCATTAACTCCGAGAGTGAGCTTCGTATATTTTAATGATTTAATTTAGTGGTATAAATTATTTCAAAGCTCACGAACTTGAACTTGACTTATGTTTGACAAGAAACATTGTTGCCGAGAGATCGTGGAGTGATAAGAAAAATGAAGATGTTTCCCGGAGTGCAAAAGGATAAACTTTTACCCTTCATTATTTCTGAAATTGAGCTTTGTATATTTGAACGATTTAATTTTTAGAGTGACGATTAACTTGAAGAGCACGATACAATTTGAAAACTCGCGACGAACTAAAATCTCCCTCGAGTTTCGGAGCAATTTAGGAAATCGAGTCTTCTCTAAAGACTATCGCTCGAAGGACTCGCAGACGAAGGCGGATTGGCAAGATTTAGGGCACCTCATATCAATTCAGAACTGCCTGGTCTTTTGTTATTTCGAGATTAAGGATTAATTTAATTTGCTCGGTAAAGCGACGCGTTACGTCGAGAGGACCGTCTCGAGCATCTCGGCGTAGTCGACTACCAATCGTGACAGAATCATCCAGCGTCCGATTAATCGCGGACTTCACCCTCCCGCGACGGATGCACGGGGAAATCGGGTTCATTTCTCGCCCTCTCTCCCGCCCGCGTCGCGTAAACGCGCGGTCGCTCTCGCCCGCGATCGATTTTCTATCACCGGGAGTTTTTAGGGCCGCGGGGGCGAAATATTTGCGCGGGGAAACCGGGGGTGTTGTCGTCGGTAAACTGAGCGCCTCCCGCGCGCGCTCCTCGATTCCTGATAGAATCAACCTCTCGCGCGGGACAATATGTCCCTTGTATCCGGACTCGACGCGTCTTTTACGTCGCCGACGGCGGTCGATATGCGGCAAGTTTAAGCTCTGCTCGCGAGGGAAAGCTTTAATCATCGCTTCCGGGCCCGTATCTTCGTTCCGACTCGCCCGAATATGCGACCTTACCGATCGATATTAATGTCCCCTTTATTCGAGCCTAATTAATTCAGAGCGTAACGATCTACCACTAATTAGTAAGTTTAATCGGCGATTGCACTCCCTTCCTAATTACCGGCTCGAGCCAGGCTTTTTTTCTCTCTCTTGTAAACCGGCTCGTACGCGCACGACATCCGCGAATCGATACCACCCTGGCATATTTTTTCGCGCGGGACACCCTGTATTATTCCAGGGAACACAGGGGTGCACGACCTAGTTACGCTTGGGCGTGTTATATGGGTCATAGACACCATTCGCACTCGGTTGCACGTGCGCGCGCACACGCTCACGCGTGCCGACTGTGCACTGGTTCACGGGAGCAGCCAACTCACGAATGTGGGGCAAGAAGGTTTTCTCACCCCGCTTTCGCCGTTCGCGCGATTAACGATTGAACGGACGCTGCGAGACGCCGGCCGCGAAGGTCGGTCCTTTCTCGGACTAAAATTCGAGAATGGAGAATCTCGAGGGCGATCCC